TCTTGTTTTTCCAAGTGCCAGATAATACGTGACAGCACGGGGCTGATCAGGAGGAGAGCTGAGAGCCCCCGGCAGAGCCCAGGCCGCCCTCCCCTCCTCTGACTTCCCAGGAGCTCCGTTCTGCTGGCTGCGCCTTCCACTCGCAGCCTCTTTGGGAAGCTCATAAATAATGACTTGGAAGAGAAATGATTTCAGATTACAAAACTTTTTCAAGAGCAAGTCAAGGTGCCAGCATATTCAAAAGCTGACAGATCTGTCAGGGCAGGTACTCTGTGAGGGATGTGCTTTGTATCTTCGATGTGACAAACATACTGCAGTAAATTCACAGTCGTGCCCTGGCTGCTGCCTTTTCCAAAGCCCTGCCACTAAGCCATCACCTTTAGCTCAGTCACTGCTCACGCTGAGAGTGAAGAGACAAACAAGGATTATCTCGTTTTGCTAGAAATGCTTCGCCTCATTCACTGGACTGTTTGCAATGACAGTGATGTGCAATAGGTCCCACAGATTTGGGGGGTGCTTGTGAGTGTATTTTATAGTACTGTTGGATTTGAAATTTTTCATGTTAGCATCTCCCTCTTTTGGAAGTATTTGTGGGGTCTCACTTTTGTTACGGATTGTTTTCTGACATAGTCTGGGCAATTCTTCAAAGAATCCCACAGATGAGAAACCGAGGCAGAGAGGCTGAGTGGATTTCCTATAGATATGCAAGAAGTCAACAATAGTGCAAGGAGTTGAGTAGTGCAAGGAGTGTCCTAACCTCTGTACTGTCCCTTCCTCCCTTGTGCAATGCAGAATACGTATCTTTTCATGGATAGCTTTTCGGAATATGTATCTTTTCAAAAGGCTGATGTTAGGTTAATGATGAATCTTACAAAATGAAATAGGAAACACATGAATTTTCATGTGGCAGGAAAGTGCTTTCCTGATGAAATAGTAATTAAATAAGAAGGATAGTTATTAAAGAACTGGTAAATCTAATGCTCTCTGCCCCTCCTACCTCAGCAGTTCTGCGTAAGGAAAAGGAGTGTTTCTGACAAACATGGAGTCCTACCAGAAAACATAAGTGGAGCAATGTGTCATAAGAATCTTAGAAAAATGAAACAATGTCAAATAAATGAAATCAATTTCCAGAAGAGAATAATAAAGGCTAAAAAAAGGTACCCAGAAAGCCAGAAGACTTTTCTATTTTCTTAATTGGGGCAATTATACTAAAACTGACAGCAAATATTTTCCCAGTAGAAAAAACACCCACAAATCCCAGTCAGCCAAAATAGCGCTCTGATCATGAGATCTGTGAAGGTTAAAGGCTTGTATCTGCCATGAGGAGAGTGTTCCTCTTCTCCCAAGGTCAGTCCTTAAATGTGGAGAAGTAATTTTGATTCTGGTCTCCTCACAGTTCAAAGTCAACGCTTACCTTGATTTCAACAGTGCTATATTTGGCAAAGTACTAATATAATTGGTTTTGGTCCTAGTCTTCTCCTGATTGAATGCTAAACGCCTCTTAATACCAAGCCCATTGTGCTTTGTCTCACTCATAGTTTAGGTGATGTATGAAACAGCGAGCAGTGTGGACCTGCTGGAGGAATCCCTCCAGGGAAACTTATGGTGCCAGTGTCCACACCACACGCGTTTTGGGGTTTTACTTCAGATCAGCTTTTGTCTGGATCCCTGCTGCCATGGACTGAAATTTCTTTTATTGTTTTTATAGCACATGAAGAACTCCTAGAGTGCATCTTCAGGTGTAGTTTCATCCAAAAAGGATGTGGTTCATGCAGTCCCGGGCTGCATCATAGCAAGAGCCAAACACAGCACATAGGTATGACTGGAGCAACAGAGATGGCTTCCAACAAATCACAGTGTGCATCACCTGTGTGTAAACTCTCAACTGCTGTTGCCTCCTTGTTGTTCCTTTGTGTTCATCATGTTCCAGCCACCAGCCTGCCACGCATATTTCACTGCACCACACTGAGGACCTTCTCCCTCAGTGTGGGCCCCTTAGTGGGACAGAAATAATCTGGCAGTCTGAGTTGCATTGGCGGTGTTTGGATTTGAAACCACTCAGTATTTCCTTGCTAATAATTAGACCTTGCAAAGAGGAGAAAAGTAATCATACAAGCTCAGATGAGAGATTGTGCAGCCCAGGGATCCCCTCTCTCTCAGTAACCAGAAATGGGTACCTGGGAATGACTTTAATAAGAAGGCAAGGATGTGGTGGCTCTTCCCCAGAATACTTAGCTTCCAAAAAATTCACAACTTGAGGATTTCCTAAGCCAGATGCTTTGTCTTTACATCTAATAGCCTTTGATATGTTTTTTTTTTCTTTTGTGAATAATTTAGCAACTTTTTAGATTTATATTAATTTTAGGATCTAGTGTCCTGCAGGAAAAAGTTTGACACTAACTTCATGCTATACAGTTTGGATTTGTTAAGAAAAATCTGGGGATGTTAATAAGAGGGGTTCAGATACCCCCGTTCTGCCTCTGCTCACATTAATCCTAGAAATAGGATTCTCTAGCACATTTGGTGCAGAGTCACCATGCTGAAGTGAAGAGTGTTGGTGGATGCAGTGCATGTGCAAATCCACCCCAGCTGGGGCTCCGCGCCACTCCATGTGGATTTGTGTTGATGTGAAGGGGAAACTCTGCTCAGATCATGAGGTGCAGAGACCCATTGTGTCTTCTCTGGCTTTTTTCAGAGCCACGAGATGCTTGGGTATGGCCACATTCCTGTGGGAGCCAGAGTGCTAAATCAAGACCACTTGGCTCTTGTGGGAACCAGCCAGCAAGGACTTCACCCTCCCCTCAAATCCTTGCATTCTGGACCTGGGATTTTATCAGATTGTATTTGTGATCCCATTCAATTTTTCAAATAAATAGTGAAATTCAAATGTTTGGTCAGAGGGAAAACTTCCCAGTTACTGAAGGGGAAAAGAACACAATATCCAAATGGCTTTGTGGGTGAAGTAATGGCTGCATGTCATAGCTTGGGAGTCAGGTTTGTGGTCCGGTGCCCCATGAAGTGGATGTGCTTGGGTTGTGAGGTTAATGTAAATGGCTTTGGTAGGAATTCTCATGTGACTTCCCATAGTCAATTTGCTGGTTTAAGATATCACTGACTGCATAATAGCAATTGATAAGATGGGGAGGGCACCTGCCAGATGCAACCAAGCCCTCCTCTGGACACCAGCTGGGGGCAGATATGACGAAGCCCTTCTGCTGCTAGAACAGGTGAGTCCTGCAGGAGGAGTTGCAGGTGGCCGTGGCTGGAGGAACTGTGGGGGGCTGGGAGGGAACCTGGCTGGGGGCATCAGGAGTTACCCAGTGCCTCTGAAGCTCTGCTCTTCTGGGGCAGGCTACCTGAAGCGCTGCTGGATGACCACGCTCTGATGCCCGATGCAGTACCCCTCTGCCTGGTGCCCCCGCTCCCACTCACTTGCGTCTGCTGTGGGTACCCTCAGGTTACTGCCTGCCTCATTCTTGCTTTCCGCTGAATCACTTGGTGACGCTACAGCGAAGCATGTGAGTGCTAATGTAAGTGTAAAGGCCAGTGGCACCTCCGCAGAGACCTGCTTCTGCCTTACTCACCACTAACTGGTTGTACCTGCTGGGATTCAACCACGACGCCCGTTGTAGGAGGTTGCCAGCAGTTACTCCCTGTTCTATATGTGAACAACTTGCAGATGTGACAAATGCAGGTTGTTTTGTCTGGATTCTCTGTTTTTCCTCTCAGTCTCTCCATTGCAGGATTTCCTCATCTCTCCCACTGCTTTCTGTCCTTTCGGTACTCTGGCCACTGCTCTGGAGCCTGGGGAGCCGTCACCACCCAGAGCATCCACCCTGCATGGGATCTAGTGGCTTTGCTCAGCAGGTTAGCAGAGGGAGGAATGAGAGAAGTGCCTGTGCCCCTTTCTCCTCCAGCCAAACCCTTCCTAGAGGCAGGAGCTGTTGGGGAGCATTTTTCACTACATCCTACCACTGTGTCGTGCAGCAGAAACATCATGAGATATGATTTACATCTTGGGAGACAACAGCAGGGCATGGCCTGAACCCAGCTGTTGGCAGATCAGTTGGCTTTGGGAAACCAGCCAACCTCTTTCAGTTTTCTAGGGCGCTCTGGTTTGCCCATGAGATTAGCATTTGCAGCATTAGACAAGCACAGATAAACAGAATTTGTCCATTTCTAATTTGAACAATCAAATGTGTACCTATGTCTCAATGCCTGGCTGGAAGACCAAGAGAGCTTCTTTGTTTGTGGCTCCAGCAGTGCCAGGAATCAGGGCTGGTCCCACATTTGAAGAATCATCTTTTTATTAAGCAGCGCAGAGGCTGGGGCTGCTGCTTGGGAAATGGCTGTATTCTCTCTGCAGGCAGATCGATACATTTCAGCTCACTCCACTGCAAGTAACTTTTTGTTGTACACTAAGAATGAGGAAAATAAAATCCAAGATGGATGTTATTTTGGTTTTGTTTTTATTTTGAATTATGTATTAGGAAGTCACTGCTGTCTTCCTTCTGGTCAGGAGACAAAATGCCTTTGGTGATTTTTCCTATTAAAAAGAAACGAGGTCTTCCCAGTTTTATTTCCATCGCCCACTTGCTTCTTGGTACTGAAGTGTAAATCTAGGGTCTCCGCAACTAGACAAGATGGTCTCCTGCAGTCCTAATGCCGGCGAAGTCCCCATGGGTGCTGGTGGAGTCACACCTCCTTGGTACGTTTCTAACCAGTTTTATAATGACATTGCAGATGAGTTATATGTGTTACAGATGATTGCTAGCACATAGGCAGACTGTTATGGAGGGTTATAAATACTCTACAGGCTAGCTGAACTATCTTTTTAATCAACCATTTACTAAATAGCTAGTAAAAATATTAATCCTTTCAAAGTGAATTCTTAATATAACGTGTTATGGGGCAAAAATTCTTTAACTGGATCCATCATTAATATGAGTTTGGAAACTCAAACTAACAATCCATTTTGATGTTTTTCTTCCTAAATCTAGGTTATCCTGAAGGGGAGGATAAAAAAACTGGCCACCAAGATGGTAATCACTAGTGGAAATGAAGAAGATAAAGGCAGTCAAGAAAAGGAAAGCAAAGAAGAAACCATCTTGGCAATGCTTGGAATTATTGGGACAATTCTGAACCTCATTGTGATCATTTTTGTGTATATTTACACAACGTTGTAAACTAGAAGGCATGCAAATAGACCAGATAAAACGGCCATTAAGAGTGATGACAAACATTGCCGACTATTGACAAGTTGTTTAATCAGAATTGACTCTGTATTATATTAACACATCATGAAAACACTGCCTGTAGGCAGCGAAGGCTGAAGCACAATTAATTTAACAAGACTTTTTCACACAGTAACAAGCTTAACTCTTCTCTCCTGCCCTCTTCCTTTCAGTTTGGTCTTTGGTTTGGGGGAAAATGACTGCAATTATGTAAGTTATAGCTTTGAAGAAAGCTACCAGGGATAAGTTGTTTTAACACAATTTGAAAATAAAAAGAAAAAGAAAGAAACTGTACGCTATACACAATTAGAAATGTATACTGTATACCCGCAAAGATTGAACTCAAAGATAGCTTCATAGCACAGATCACGTGTCCATCAGGTCAAATGATTTTTTGCTCTTGGTTTTTGCTTTTACTTACATTGAATCTGACAAGCTTTTTATTTAGAATGAACATATGGTGCAATCACAAAAGAAACAATTCCATTGAGCAAGGTCTGCCTAAACCTGATAAAATGTTGGGAGAAATACATTACATGGTTATTTTTCCTTTCCTATTTGCTTAGCATCTGTGTCTTTTCATACCAATGTTTATAAATATATATTTTTAATAAATGTGCTATATTTTTAGCATGAACCAAATATTTGGAGACACTTGTATTCATGCAGCTAAATTTCGTTTGATGAAGTGCCCTTTTTGACAATGGATGTTATTTTTCTCAGCAATTATACAGCAGTCTTGTTTGCAGCCCTCTCACTGTGGTCTGCAGCAAGCTCACATCATGCTCATATGCATGACTTGAAGTTGGAACGTCAGCTGAAAAACATTGCTGCTTAATACGAGAAATAGCAAAACATTGTAAGGTGACCTTTGGAGACTGGTTGCTGAAAGAAAGCTCTATTTATAGTTTAAAAAAAAAAAAGGCAAATGAAAGGAATATTGAGGCATCTCACAAAATATTACAAAATGCACAGAATTTATGGCTTTCGAAATCTGGTCACACTCTCCAAGTACTTATATTGAGAGAAGCAAGCAGAGGTTTATGCAGCTGAAAAGAGAAATTTAGAGAGCCTGTAGTGAGGGGCTTAAGTGAAATCCAGACTGTAAATAAAGAGTATATTTTAAATGTGAGGATCATTAACCCTTTACACTTCTCTGACATGTGCTTTAATTGAGGTCGGTGCAGTGAAATTCTCTGACTTGTGTTTTTGACAGGAATGTACAATGATGATGATCACCGTTTTTCTTCAGAGTTCAGTACCTATAAATATATGAAACATTAAAAATGTGAGACCTCAATTCTGCCTCAAGCTGTCTAAGTATATTGCCCATTAACTTTGACATATCATCTTAAAAAAATAGGTCAATTAATTGTTTACTGACTCGTGGCTTGGATTGCATCCTCAGATGCGCAGGGGGCATTGCTATTGAAATTAGCTGGTGCTGTAAAAAGTTTGATCCTACAGTCTCATTGATTTTAGCGATCAGTCCTGTTTCTGTGGAATCAGTAATGAGCTTTTCACTGGTTTCCAGGGGCTAGGACTGGTCTCCAAAATACAGAATTTCATTGCATGATATAAAAACGAGACTGGAAAACCTTGAGGGGTACCTCTGATAAACAGAGGTGTTTAGTCTCTTGTGCTATTGAACATTCGATAACAAAACCATTAGGAGAAGGGAAAAGGTCACTAAATAAAATTAAATCCAACATGAAGAAGGAAAGAAAAAAGAGCGAAAATAATCTCATGTTAATGAAAACACAACAGGGTGAGAGAGGTGAGAAACAGAGCAGAGATTTGAACAAGCAGAGAACGGCACAGAAAGAGGGTGCCAAGCGTGCCGGCATGGTTGAGGGAACATTTGTGTTTTGACAGCACTGGCAGAGCTGCAGGTCTTGGAGAGGGTGAGAAACGTTAGTGGCACGGCTCAGTGGAGCTGAGTGAGGCTGATCTTGGGTTTTAATTTACAGTTCTTTGTTGATAATTCTAAGGCATTAGCAAACTCTGCTTTTTGATCATCCTGAAAGAAAAAAAAATGCCTAAAATATATTTGCCTCCACACTGCATTTTTTTTTCCTGGTTAAACTACTGCTGATGGCAGCGCATGGCAGTGGCCTTGGCGCCCGTGCCCTGGAGCACACCTCCACGTCCTCCAGGCCCCTGGCTAACGGCCACCTGCCCCACACACTGGCAGGATCCTCTCTGCAGATGTTTCTCTTGGACTTCTCCTCCTCCAGCAGACGCTGAACCAACCTGCCTGAGGCGCGTACCCGTCTTCTAGAGGGGAAACCTGGGAAAGGGCAATGTCCAGGTCGAGAGGCGAGCTCTGATGCCTGGTACTTCTTTTCCTCTCTCTGAATCAAATGATAATACCTGCCATCTTCTTGTGGGCATGAAGATGCTCAATGAGTGAAATTTCATTAAATTCTTCTATTAATATTAGAAATTAAAGCTCTGCATTGTAAAACAACATAGAACACCCCTACCCCCCTGAAGTAAAGTAGCAACTTTTGCTGCTCATCACAGTTGCGCTCCTTCAGACATGGGCCAGCCTCTTCACCAAGACAGGCACTGCAAGTAGCCCAAACGTGCTTAAGCTGAACTGGAGGATCAAAAAGCCTGAGGACTCTGTGTTTACTCTGCCTTTCCCCACAGAAGACCCATTAGGGGATGAGTTTCCAGCTGTGGGTGTGCTGTACTCTGCCTGTTAGTCTTGGCATAGGCAGCGTGTCCAGGTGCCTGCTGCCCTTCGCCGTCAGCAGCCACGTGCTGTGTGCTTTGCCATGGGGCTTTTATTGCACCCTGAAATAGGAATAAGGGTTTATCCCTTTCCATAAAAAGTTTAACACTTCATATTTTAGTTTTACAGGTTTCTGTTCACAGACAGTTCTAGAAATATCCTGGGGCAAGTACTTCTTAAGCAGATTCATTAAGTATTCATTTAAATAAAAATGAAAAGTTTCCTTCGAGGGCAATTTCTTTACCTTTTATTTGGTATTCATGAACACGGATATGGGAAAAGTATGTTTGCAAGAATGACTGTGGAAGGGAAATGTTTTATACAAAGACATGAGTGTATGCCTACCCAGGCAGCCACACGCAGGCCTGCTTTCGGCTGAAAGCCAGCTGGAGCCAAATCACCCTCACGCTTTTTTGTGTGTGCAGTTTTCAGCACGCACCTGTCAGATACGTTCAGCTAGGTAACATATCTATCATGGATACCTTATAGTCAGTAACTGCAGTATAAACAGTTGAATAAAACTTCTCATTACAGGTGCTGAATGGTAAATCTGCTTTGGCAAGGAAAAAGCTGATAGTCTTATTTTTGGCTCATTTTGACTTGTAGGCAATGCAAATACTTTCCAAAGTAAATTTTTTAGAATAAAATATTACTCTATTAGTGACAGGAATTTTCATGTTTGCATTTGAGTAGAAGGAAATTAATATCCAGTATCTTAATAAGATATGAAAACATCACTTTTTGCTTCTGTCAATTAAGAATATAATTTTATTTTTAAATAAATATGTAGTTTAATGTTTTGTGTTATTGGAGTGAAAAATATTTTCCTGAGGTGACAGGAAGGTGACAGTCTCCCAACTAGTGTCCAGTGTGTTGTCTGGTGGGTACAGAAGACTTCCAAGAAAGAAGAAGATAAAACTATTTAAATCACATTATGTACACAACAAAGGGAGGAGAAAGAAGAAAGGTGGACTGCTGCTCTCATCTCTGGTTCCTATAACTGCCACTGAAAATTCGTCATCTCGGGAATCATGTCTTTATACAGGAATACGTATTCCTGTGTGCTGGCTGACCGGGCACTCTTCTCAGTTACATACCTCCTGCTCCTTCTGCTCGCTCCTCTGCAGCTCATCACACCTTGGGACAGGTTTCACATGTACCCAGCCTGAGAGCCTCTGGAAGCTGCTGGTTTGGTTTATTGTGGTGTAAAGATCTACTGTGGGGCAGAGTTTTATTATTTTAAGGACAGTCAGCAATAATCTTCATGTTATTGTCGGATAATCTAGGGGATACTTTGCTGGCTGAATTCCCAGACCCATCCCTCCCCTGGCCCACAGGTAAAATTTTGATTCAGTAGGCATCCAAATACAAGAAAAGCTTCAGTTACATCATGATAAACCTTTAGTATGAAGCATTACTTAAATCCAAGTGTCTTATATTTCCATTTAATCTACATCCTGGAGCTCACCTCACATGTCCCAAGGTCTCATTCATGTCAGGATGTCTCATCGTTTCTGAGTGAGAACTGACATTTCAGAGTGAGTTGTGGCATAAGCAGACAACTTGGCCCAGAGAGGTGAGCGGGGATAAAAAGTAACTGAATTAAAACTTCAGGGGGGCAGCACTGCAAAATTTAGTAATCAAATGGTTTGAGGTTTGGCTGGAGTACTTTTTTTCTGGCTAGCCAAAAACATTATTGTGCCTTGGAAAGTTTCTGGAAGAAATATGTCTGATTGAAAGAAAGAATCTCAGTGAAAATATTTCAGCATCAATCTCAAGCAGCAACCTTCCAAAGAAAACACCGACCAGGCCTCCGAGTGCTGCTGGCTTGCTTCCCAAGAGTCCTTTTTGGCAGCTCAGGAGCACACTGCACCCAGATGTAAGCACCTCTTGTCTACTGAGAGGCTTTGTGTTCTTTGGAGCAGAATGCACAGATTTACGAAGATTTACAAATGTAGGAAATAGTACATTATGCAGTCAACAACAACAAAAAATCTTGTTCACCTTTATTTCCAGCAGATACCCTGCAGACACCCTGCAGAACCTGCACTGCTTCCATGCCTGGCTGTGAATTTTGGAGGCTTATCCCAAAGGGTCTTACAAACTCAGCGTAGCTTTCCTTTCCCACCAACTGATCCAAGAGAAACAAAACCTGTTCACCGTGGAAACCTCCACGCTGGGCTGAAATCCCACATGCATCCGTATGCATTTACCTACATACAAACCATCTGGTATCCAGTAAGACTCTTCTTGTCTGAAGAATTAGGTTTGCTTATTTGCATTTCTCCTGGGAACTCAGAAGGTTAAAGGCTATTTGTAGGGCTGAAAGCCCCCAACTGTTTCCAAAGACACCACTTTACGTAATGTAGCTGTTGCCTTGGAGGTGCCTGTTCATCCCGAAATATGCCCGTGCAGTGCCGTGCACGTAGAGCCATAGAACCATAGGATCATTGAGGCTGGGCACACCGTCCTCCACATCTCTCACTGACAGAGTATCCATGGCTGGCTGGGGGTGGGTTTGGGCTCTGACTGGCCCCTGCA